TATATATATATATATAAAGATTATTTTATTTAGTTATGAATATAAAATTAAAATCCTAGTAAATAAATAATTGACGTTGCTTATTTTTATTTTTAACTTATTTAAATTTGATTCAACTTGTGTAATTGACCAAACAAAATATCAACGTGCTAAATAATTTTGTGGTCTATTGCACTCTATATATCTGCACATTCAATAGGGACCGATATGATTGATTATCTGACTGTATAGTGATTCTGCTGAAGTATATATAAATGGCATAAAATTGATAGTATCTCCGTTCACATTGTTATAGTTTTCTTTTTGGAGTCAAACGATAATAATTTTGCCTAACATTTTACGATGTATTTTTTCATCATATTGATATGCAAAAAATTAAAATTTTTAGTACTTTTTGTATAGTTTTTGAATATCTAATTTTTTTTATTTAAAATATTGAATTAATGTAATATAATTTAATTTTGAAAATTAATTAAATTAAATTTCGAAAAAAGCAATATGACAATTAAAAGTGGACAGAGTAGGAGATTACACACAAAGTAAAGAGTTAGGCACAAGCATATATATTTTTGTAGATCTTACTACAAATTGTATTTTTTTCCTACGATTGGTAAAATAAGAAAAGAAAGTATAAAAGATAGATAGATAAATAGATAAATAAAGAGTGGCTTATTTAATTAGTTATGAAAATTAAAAAAAATCCTAGTAAATGCTTATTTTAATTTTTAACTTGTCTAAATTTGATTCAACTTGTGTAATTAATCAATCAGAAAATGAGATGCGTTAAATAAACGTCAATTTTGTGGTCCCTTTTACACCAATAATCAATCATAGCGGTCCCTATTGAATGTGTAGATATATGTTCATTGAGAAAGATATTAAAACGATCTGTAATGTATAGGTAATGCTTTATTTTGGTCCTTAAACGTAGTTAACTTGATTGAAATGGTCCTTATGGTATAGGGATGGGTCACTTGTTTGAAATGGTCCATAAACCAATGGGAGAACAAAAGGTTCTAAATAAAAGTGAATTTTGCTAGCGCAGCCAATGATGCTGACAATTTGTACGGCATAAATCAATGTATTCTATATATTGAGTGTCTAATTTCTCATCCATCCTGTTTTGCTTAATTATTCAGCTTATGGAGTTGCTATTCATCATCACTTCACTAGTGTTATTCCTTTCTTTCATCCTTCTTTTAAGGAAGCAATCAAAAATCTTCAACAAAAAATTGCCTCCAGGGCCATGGAAGTTACCTTTTATTGGAAACTTGCACCAGTTAATGAATGGCCGCCTTCCACATCATACTTTCAGAGATTTATCGCGAAAATATGGGCCCATTTTTCATTTACGTCTTGGAGAAGTATCACACGTTGTTGTATCTTCACCTGATACAGCAAAAGAAATCATGAAAATTCAAGACCTTCATTTTGCTACTAGGCCTCAATTATTGTTCGGTGAAATTATTATGTATAATCACTCGGATATTGGAACATGTCCATATGGTGATTACTGGAGAAACATGCGCAAAGTGTGCACCCTGGAACTTCTTAGCACAAAGATGGTCAGATCATTTGATTCAATTCGACAAGCAGAGATGTCAAGTCTTATTTCATCGATTAATTCCATGCCTGATTCATTAATCAACTTGACAGATAAGATATTTTGGTTTACAGGTCCTGTAACTTGTAGATCTGCTTTTGGAAAAATAATTCATGGTCAAGATAAGTTGATAATGTTGTTGAAGGATATCACTTTATTAGCTGGTGGATTTGACTTGACTGATGTATTTCCTTCCCGAAAATGGCTTCATGGAATTTGTGGATTGAAGTCGAAAATATTGAAGGTTCACAACGAAATGGATGCAATATTGGAAAATATCATTAATGAACATTGTAGAAATCGAGCAAATGGTAAGAAGGGTAATAGTGAATCTGAAGGTGAAGATTTAATCGATGTTCTACTGCGAGTCATGGAGAGTGGCGAATTGGGAACTCCCATCACAAATAATAACATCAAAGCAGTTATTTTTGTAAGTTGTGTCAAATAAAACATCCCATTCTTATTCTCTCTTCTTCTTCTTCTTCTTTATATTTAAAAATATTTATTAGTATTAAAATTTTGAGTTTAGTAATCATTCATAATATTGGAATGTTAAAAATGAAGTATATCTGAATATTTTTAGTTATATACAGGACATGTTCTTAGCAGGAGCTGAAACATCATCTACAACAATTATTTGGGCATTTGCAGAAATGATAAGAAATCCAAGTATCATGGCTAAAGCACAACTTGAAGTTAGAGAAGTCCTTAAGGGGAAGAAAGTATTTGAGGATATTGATTTAGAAGAATTGAAATATCTAAAATTAGTGATTAAAGAAACATTAAGGTTGCATCCACCTCTTCCTTTGTTACTCCCAAGGGAATGTAGAGAAGAAACAAGGATTGGCGAATACACAATACCTATCAAAACCAGAGTCCTAGTGAATGCATGGGCAATCGGAAGAGATCCTAAATATTGGCATAATTCAGAAAGCTTTATTCCTGAGAGATTTGATAATAGTTCTATTGATTTTCGAGGAAATCATTTTGAATTCATTCCCTTTGGTGCGGGAAGAAGAATGTGTCCAGGGTGGTTATTCTGCTTAATGAACGTAGAACATTCTTTAGCTCAATTGCTTTATCACTTCGATTGGAAGAGTCCTTACGAAGGCCCTCTAGAGAATTTTGATATGACGGTAACAAATGGAGCAACTGCAAGAAGAAAGGATGATCTTTGTTCAATTGCTACTCCTTTTGATCTCTCTTAATAGTAGAAATAAACTTTAGAACTTTGTTCCTTTATTTCAAATAATTGTGCATTTCTCTGGTTGCAACTTGTTTAGAAATTCAAGAGAATGCTGTTGTTGCAGTTTACTTTCTTATAGATACTTTGTTCCTTCTTTCCAGATCTACTATAATAGACCAACATTACCCATGGTATGCAATTTTTATCATATATGCATCCCCCTTTTTTTTTTTTTAATCTGATGATAAATAATTTCTTATTTTTTAATTAAGTATCCTCTTTGAAATATTCAGTTGTTTTTCAGATACATTAATTTTTTGCAAATTTGTTTATTAACTGTTATTGTATCAAAAGTGAAGAGAACTGTATCGAAGTTAAGTACTCAAATCACATTTACTTCGTAGGTTGTTTTTTGTCACTGTATATAAGGAATAATTGAATTTGTGTACCTCTTATGTTTTCTTATGTTTTGTTGTTATTTAGTATCAAATGAAATGAACATTATTGTATCTAAGATACTTGCTTAATTCACAATTTGGCATCTAGGTTGATTTTGGTACTGTGCATCATAGTCAATGATAATTCTCTATATGATACTTAAAAGAATAAAAATAGTTATGAGAATTTATATTTGTATCACATTGAATTATGCTACTGTATATACAATATAATTGGTTTTGTGTACCTCTTATGTATTCTTGTTATTTAGTATCAATTAAAGCGAAACATCATTATATTTCTATAATAGTATAGCATTTCTAGTTGTAGGTATGAATGTATCATGTACTTTTTTTTATGTTTGATAAAAATCATTTTTATGTAATTGCAGAATATGATTTATGTAATTAAACATATTCCAAAGAACTCCCTAAAGTTTGGTCCTACCTACAACTCCAATTTTATTGAAGATTTAGTCTTGTCAATAAAGGACTAAGGTATTGAGTTATTCAAGGATACCATATATGCCCCATACCTAAATATCCCCAAATGCAACTTGAGCTGAATACCTGAGCGACGAAATCAACATTCCAAGTATTAGTTTTCGGAGTGACTATCTTTGCAATAGATATGCAACACTGTTATGGAAGTATGGTATCGACAAGTTCAAGGCGGGAATATGTTAGCGATAATGATGATCCTACAAGGCCGAAGAGTGGCTACACTACACCAGCAGAAGGCGGAATGATTAATGTAGAATAGTTATGTTTTATTGTATTGAAGATACGTTAATTAGTATTTTGTAATATTTCTTCCCGTTTCAACACAATTATTCTAAGTAATTATTAATTTGAAGATTGTTTTTGTCAAAAATTGTATTTCAATTTTAATTATTGTTCCAATATATATAGTTTATTATATAGTATCTTGTTACAAATTGTATCTTATACACCAATACTGCTGAAACAATATAACCATCAGATACAGAATATCTAATACTATATATTTTACACTTGGTAAACAATAACTAATTTTCAATTTATTTAGTATCTATTAACATGTGGTAGCCTTGATGTAAATCACAACATATGATACTATATTATTATCATATACACAATCTCCATAAAATTATTATGTATATGATACACATTTTATTATCAAATAATAAATTTGTGTATATGTTACAATTGGTACAAAACAATTAAGTTTCAATATATTTAGTATCCTTTAACAAGTTAAATCTTGTAACATTGATTTAAATCATAACAACTAACATTTTTTTATTATTAGATACAAAATATAGTTGAACTATAACGTATATGATACTAAATAAATTATCAAATAACTTAATTGTTATATACCCCAACACATGATACAATATGTTTTACACTAGGTATAAAACAATTCAATATATTTAGGTATATTGAATTTATGTTGTTGTAAAGTTTTTAGGTACTGACCATCAAATCAGCAATGAAATGATTTTTTTTTTTTACATATTCCTTTCATACTCTCCATTTGTTACTTAATTACATATGGTGGTTGTTATAGGCTATGGGGCTTTGAGAAGTTATTGTTCAGAGACTCGAGAAGTAACATTAGGAGAGATCAAAAGTACGCCATACATGCAAAAAATGCATATTCAACAGTTTGTCGCTTGTAACATTTATATAAAGTTAAAATCACACCAAATGATAATATCTTATTAGCAGATTCAAAATATACAGAAAATTAGTACACATGAAGCATAAAAATTCTTAAAAAGTAATCATCAAAAATCTTTTGGAAAGAAAGTACATGTTCTTATATTGTGACCTTCTTGTCCACAACGTCCACAACAATTCGTTTTTGTACTTAGCTTTTTGTCTGGATTTTTCTTCCTCTTTTTTCTTGGTCTACCAAGCATTTTTTTGTATCTTGGTGGCAAGACGACTTCTTCCAAAACACATTCTGGAGTTGTCCAATCATTTTTGTCTGGCATTGGTCCCATTGGAATTGCATAAGTATTTGTTAATGCATCATGTTTATAGTAATCAGAGCAGTAGGGGTGTATATCTTTAATATTCTTCTTCTTCAAAACGGTCATTGCGTGCACACAAGGTATCTCATCATGTTGAAATCTACCACATGAACAAGTTTTTCTCTTAAGACAAACAATGTAAATAAGATTCACGAACGAAATATTTTCCCCAACTACTATCCCATCACTTCTGTATCGCTCGTAACATCACTTTCCCATGATCCAAAATATTTCGAATCTTCACAAAATTGCGTTCCAAAATTGTTTGAATCAAACTTTTACTGTTTTTTCAAAGAACAACGAGAAGGTTTCATAATTTGAAATTTAAAAATTATAATTCAATTAGAGGTTTATGAACGACTGATTGGTTGAAGGAAGAAACGTACGCGTGATTTGTGGGAGTCAATTATAATTTCCGTTTTAATCCCTTATTTAACGCATTAAACTGATAACAAGAACTTAATAATTTAAGTATCCGCCTGCAATATTATGTATCCGAAAGACACTAAAAAAGGGATTTTGGTAATTAATGAAAAAGTAGGGATAGGAAGTAATTTCTTTCTTATACTATGTGATTTGCCTAATTTTTACTTAAATATTTGAGCTTCTCCAAAGGGGGAAAATAAGAAATATAATTTCTATGGAGATACAACATTTACTTTTCATCTTCGCTTCACTCTTGTTATTCCTTTCTCTCATCCTTCTTTTATGGAAGCAATCAAAAACCTTGAACAAAAAATTGCCTCCAGGGCCATGGAGGCTACCTTTTATTGGGAACTTGCACCAGTTAATGAATGGTCGCCTTCCACATCATACTTTTAGAGATCTATCGCAAAATTATGGACCGATCTTTCATTTACGTCTTGGAGAAGTATCACACGTTGTTGTATCTTCACCTGATATAGCAAAGGAAATCATGAAAATTCAAGATCTGAATTTTGCTACTAGGCCTCAATTAATGGTTGGAGAAATCATTATGTACAATTATTCCGACATCGGAACATGTCCATATGGTGATTACTGGAGAAGCATGCGCAAAGTGTGCATCCTGGAACTTCTTAGCACAAAAATGGTCAAATCATTTGATTCAATTCGACAAGCAGAGATGTCAAGTCTTATTTCATCCATTAATTCTATGCCGGACTCGTTGATCAACTTGTCAGACAAGATTTTTTGGTTTACAGGTTCTGTAACTTGTAGATCTGCTTTTGGAAAAATAATCAATGGTCAAGATAAGTTGATAATGTTGATAAAGGATATCACATTATTAGCTGGCGCAACTGAATTGGCTGATTTATTTCCATCTCGAAAATGGCTTCACCAGATTTATGGATTGAAGTCAAAAATATTGAAGGTTCACAAAGAAGCAGATGTAATTTTGGAGAATATCATTAATGAACATCAGAAAAATCGAGCAAATGGTAAGAAGGGCAATAGTGAGTATGGAGGGGAAGATTTAGTCGATGTTCTACTGCGAGTCATGGAGAGTGGCGAATTGGGAACTCCCATCACAAATAATAATATCAAAGCAGTTATTTTTGTAAGTTTAGTTTCATATAAAATATCTCCTTCTTTCTCTATTTTGTAGTATATTGAAATGTTAAAAACTAGGTATATCTGAATATTTTTAGTTACATGCAGGACATGTTCGTAGCCGGAGCTGAGACATCATCTGCAATTATTATTTGGGCATTGGCAGAGATGATAAGAAATCCAAGTATAATGGCTAAAGCAAAATTTGAAGTTAGAGAAGTGCTCAAGGGAAAGACAATATTTGAGGATACTGATCTTGAAGAGTTGAAGTACCTAAAATTAGTGATTAAGGAAACGTTAAGGTTGCATCCTCCATTTCCTTTATTATTGCCAAGAGAATGTAGAGAAGAAACAAGAATCGGAGAATACACAATACCTATCAAGACCAGAGTCCTAATTAATGCATGGGCAATTGGAAGAGATCCTGAATATTGGCATAATCCTGAAAGCTTTATTCCTGAGAGATTTGATAATAGTTCAATTGATTTTCGAGGAAATCATTTTGAATTTATCCCCTTTGGTGCAGGAAGAAGAATGTGTCCAGGGTGGTTATTCGGCTTAATGAACGTAGAACATCCTTTAGCTCAGTTGCTTTATCATTTCGATTGGAGGACTCCTTACGAAGGCCCTCTAGAGAATTTTGATATGACGGAAACAGATGGAATAACTGCAATTAGAAAGGATGATCTTTGTTTAATTGCTACTCCTTTTGATTAAACTTAAGAACTTTGTTTTAAATAAATAAATAATTGTGCTGGTTTATGAGCCTGTGATTACTATTAATAAAAAGAGTATTTATTTTACTATAACTTGTCCTCGTATCTTTACCTGATATAGCTATCTCTATCTTACATTTGAGTAAACTGATAACTCAAAGAAGAAGAAAATTAGCAATATTTGTGTTCAACGTCATACCAGGTTTGAATTAGGGCTGCATAACTTTTGGATCAAATCAACAATCCAAATGGATAAATTGGTTATTAGGTTAATGATTTGAACTATTGGTTTAACGGTTCGGAATCGGGCTATTGATTCAGGTCTCGGTTTAATTCATTTCTCATCACGATTTCTCAGTATAGGCATTCTATACTGCATTGCTGTTGTTTTACTCAGTTACTTTCGATGTTATTTGTAAAATATAATAAGTACTATTTGTATTGAGAAGTTTCTTTGATTGCTATAATCTGCACAAGAATCAATGGCTACAGATGTTGATTAGCTGATGGAACGACCAAATTGTATGAGAAATCTATTAGATTTAGAAAATGATTTGCTTTGCTTTGATTACTATAATCACATGTCAAGCTTAAGCTGCTAAAATGGCTATTCAGAGTTCCTTATCATACTTCTTCCTTTCACTTTAAATTAGATTTTGCACATCCACTTTTGGTTTCGTTTAGTTATAAGAACTAGCTAGCATCTATTTAGTGCATTACAATTATTAATGTATCAATATATTTTTAAAAAACCTACCGATACTTTAGATACACCTAGATTATGACATAAATTATAGTCATTAAATATCATACTTATAGCTATTTCAATTTAATAGCCTTAAAACTATAGTCATTTTTGTAAGTTATTCTTAAATAAATCTACAATATTTATTTGAGATAATATATCTTGAATTTAATATAATCTGAATTATTTTATAAATTTATATTTGATAAATTTAAAATGATTACAATTATATTTCCATATTATTCCACTAGAACTTATCAGCGTTTGCGTGCACGCTTAAAACATCAAGAAGTAATCATATCCGTTTAGTCTCTTATTTATTTAACAACTAGATATAGCACGGGCCCAACTTCATCGTATCTTTTTATTTTAATTTATGTATATATGTAGAATTTAGAAAGTTGAATAAATTTAATATGTCTTTTAGATATATAAGTGGTTAATTACTTTTTGTTTGCACAAATTTATTGTGAAGAGGTCCATTAAGATGTTTATAATTAAAGTATTTTTCGTCGTTGACTGTTAATTTTTTACTCAAAGTAGTTACAAGATATAAATAATTATTACCAATATTCAAAAATAATAAAGCAATAACTATAGAATATGAATTTAAAACTAAAAGTCATAGCTAAAACGGATTTCATAAGTTCGAAAAATTATACACTAATTAAATTAAAGTAGAACAAAAGAAATACTAATTTTTTTAAAAAAAATTTATGTGTCTGCTTCAGCGTGAAGTCTTGAATTTAAAACTAAAAGCCATAGCTAAAACGGATTCCATAATTTCGAAAAAAGTATACACTAATTAAATTAAAGTAGAAAAAAAGAAATAAATTTTTAATTTTTTTTGGAAAGTAGAATAAAAGAAATAAATTTTTAAACCATATTAAATTAAAGTAGAACAAAAGAAATAATTTTTAAATTTTTTTTCCAGAAGGACGCTGAAGCAAGCACGTCGATGAAGACGTGCCTGCTTCAGCACTAACTGTCTCTTATTAGGGAAAAATATACACGAATTAAATTAAAGTAGAATAAAAAAAAAAATCAGCACTAACTATCTCTTATATAATAAGAAAAAATACAAAGAAAATAGGAAAAGTCTAGTTGTTACGATCAAATTCAATTGAAATATATTAGTTTGAAAAAATATAAAACAATTATTTTTTCATAATATTAGTTACAGAAAATATGTTTATTAATTAATATATTTTCAAAAAAGAATATATATCTTAAATATTTAATTTAATGTCATTTATAAAGTTTCTTATTTGTCTAGTATAAATTTTAAATAATTAATTTTTATTTTTAAAATTTATTATAATTTTATGATTGCAATTGTGCATCCAAACAGAACATGTGTAATTACACTGGGGCAATCAAACATGTCAGTGTAATTACTAGACAGTGTAATTACTAGGCTGGTAATTACTATCCTAATAATTACACCAATTCCAATTACCAAGTGACTTTCCAAACAGACCCATAAAGTTCAAAGATGATCATTTGATGAAAAGGAGTGAATTGAGAAAAATTGGAGTTGATTTAAAGGAAGAACAACATATAAAATTTGTTGATCAGTATGTTCGTGGCCAAAAACTTGAAGGCAATTGCTAAAAGTTTGTGGCCACGAACGTGAAGAAAATGAGTTTCTACCTCACTCCACAAACCCGACAGCTGAAGCACGAGTTCATGCCAAACAAAGCCTGCTCATGGCCACGAACTCGTGCTTCAACCAACCAAACTATAGTAAGATGAGCTATTCAAATATATCTGCTTAGATTCATCAAAAGAAACTTTCAGGAACCAGGAAACTACACAAGTCTCCTTCAATCAAGTTGCATCAGATGAATTTTTTACAACAGTTAGTAAATACTGAAAACACTACGCCTTTTGTTTCTACAAAGCAAATGCATTTGATTCACAATCAAGTTAGCCTGCATATTGGGTGATCTTCTTTTCCAGGGAATTCTTGTCAGTACTCACAACCTTGTCAACCTCCTTGCCATATTTTATGAAAAAGAAAGATGGAACGAAACTTACGTTCCATCTTGAAGCCACGTCTCTCGCCTCATCAACATCAGCCTTCAAAAATGTAACTTTTGGATATGTTCCGGGTAGGTTTGTATAAAATGGAGAGAAATAACGACAAGGGCCACACCATGTTACAGTAAAGTAAAGGATAGCTAGACATGATGCTTCTGAAGCAGCATTTAACTTCGTCTCTAGTTCGTTCACAGAATGGATATCAACAATTTTTCCTGTATACAATAAACAAGTTACTAATTTATTGCATAAATATGTAGACTTGTCCCTCTCAAATGAAAGCCACACTACTTTGAGCATAAAACACACTTTTAGTCATCTTATTGTTAATGAGTAGTGAATTCGAAAAATCGAAGATCATACCATCATTCAAATCAGAAGCAGAGTCAGGATCCTGCATCATATTTTGAAAAAAGAGCAATTCATTAATCTATAAACAGAGTAATAAAGGACAACTCAATAATCCAGAGCTATTCCCTAGTCATTTTTTGCCGCTTGGATTAAAATGTAAAGATCAAAGAATCCCATTGTTAACTGTGTTAAGCAAATTGCGTAAACAAATGTCATACATTTTGTTTCTCCTCCTGGATCAGTAAGGAGAAAGCCTGTGCCATGGAAGGGAGTGGATTCATCGTGAGGATATTGCCCCTCACGGCGGAGTACACTTCATTCAATCCGATGAGAAATTGGATCAAGAGTCTATCCTGTTCTGCTTTGTTTATAATATCCTCAGCACCACTAATGCACAAGCTATCGCACTGACTTCTCAGATTCAAAGTGCTCAATTCTTCCCCTAACTTCTTCATCCTTGTGTAGTAGGCAGTGATATCCAAGATTCCTTGTGTGAGATTGTTAATTTCTTTCTGTATTTCATATATTTTTAATCCATTAGCATGATCATACCTATCCTCCAGTACCTTCCAAAGTTCCGCAGAGTCATTGACATATCCCACACTGTCCGAGATTTCCTTAGTCATGGAATTCAATATCCATCTTGTTAACATATCATCGCACCTCTTCCATTGACGGACTGCATCTGGTTTTCCACAACTCCCATCAATGAAACCTCATTTGTTTTTCTCTGACAAAGCTTGCATAACTCCTATCCTCCAGGATTGATATCTTTCTCCGTCAAATTGAACTGGAACCAGCACCGTCCCAGGGCTATCCGAGGGATGTATATATAGAGAGAGCAATGCCTATAACACTAGCAGTAGTAGTGAGAGTATCTTCCGCACCCGCCATAGATGTAATATTCGAATTGGTTATGAAGTTTACTCAAAAATGAATCAAAAACTACGAATCGAACCAGATCCAGAAGTAATTTCACTAATCTCCAAGAAAAATCGATTGCATGTATCACTCTGATACTATACCAAACTTCAGAGCCATGGTGAGAACTCAATCGAAGCTATAGCTGGCAATTGAAAGAGGAACTAACTGAAGGAGAATTCTGCTGTGACAAAATGAGAAGGAATATATACATAGCTTGTATGCAGCTAAGCCAAATCAGGAAAAATATCATAACTGACTAACTGCTATCCTAACCGACTAACTATAATCAGTTAACTAACTAATAGCATGAGAGTCCGGCAATTAAAATATTTTCAGATGTAAAATAAGTTGCCTAATTTTTTTATTTATAAGATGAGCTATTCATATATGTCTGCTTAGATTCATCAAAAGAAACTACAGAAATCTCCTTGAATCAAGTTGCATCAGATATTTTTACAACAGTCTAATTAGTAAACCTTGAAAACACTTCTCCACTGAAAGAAAGTTAAAATAAATAAATATGCCTTTTATTTCAACAAAGCAAAGGCATTTAATTCACAACACAGCAGACTATTTGCAAAGTTAGCCTGCATACTGGGCGATCTTCTTTTCCAGTGAATTCTTGTCAGCACCTACAACCTTGTCGACCTCCTTGCCGTTTTTTATGAAAAAGAAAGCTGGAACACTACTGACGTTCCATCTTGAAGCCACATCTCTAGCCTCGTCAATATCAGCCTTCAAAAATGCAACTTTTGGATATTTTTCAGGTAGGCTTGTATAAAATGGAGAAATAAAACGACATGGTCCACACCATGTTGCAGTGAAGTAAAGTATAGCTAGACGTGATACTTTTGAAACAGCATTTAACTTCGTCTCTAGTTCGCTCACAGAATGGATACCAACAATTTTTCCTGTATATAATAAAATAGTTAATTATTGCATAAATATGTAGACCTGTCCCTCTCAAATGAAAGCCGCACTACTACTTTGCAGCATAAAACATACTTCTATTCATCATGGTGTTAATGAAAACCAAAATGACAAATAGCACAAGGAAAATGAGAGTGAAAACAAGTTTTCTTGAAGAAATCAACATAACAAAGTTCTGGAAAGCAAACATTACATGCCCTGTAGCTTCAAAATATAACCAAATACTCGAGAGCTTTACCATAACATCATCTCACAGCCACCAGCAGCCTCCCCCTCATTTTTCACTTCTCACAGCATATAACATCATATAACAAACCCTAACCCACACACCACCCCCAAATGGTCAACAGCTTTTTCCACTTCCTCCCATGACAATGAGAACTGCCAACCTCTTAATACTGATATGATAAACTATCAGGAAATTACCAGAAGGTACCTAATAAAACCTAGAAAACCAGCTACACCATCACACCAGGCGATTGGGTGAATGTAGCACAAATATCTACATGAATATCTGCACATCATCTAGATTTCTGTAGGAGCGTCTAAGGCTTTAAGCTATCAATTTTATTATACCTTCAGATGGTCATTAACCAGTTCACTGGATAAAAAACAAAAAAATTTGAACTTGGTAACTTTGTACTATATCACAAAACAGTACATGGGTCGTACTGTAACCTTATATACAAGTGTACTCCTGATTTCACTTCTCTACGTCTAAATTGAGTCTAACACATCAACAATAGAGACAGTGTCATTAGAGTATAATTGATTACACCAAATATGATAGCTTTTACAAATTACAGCTGATTATAGTTAGCAGTAGACGAGCTCAAGGAAGAAGGACAACTATGGCGGTGATGCTAGGTATTTTTCATCAGTTGAGGATTGTACTTATTAGTTTTGAATTTCTTATCACTTCAGCTTACATTGAACGTATACCCGTAGGTAAAACAAAACCTGGATAATCACAGGAACAGACTGATGGATATGTTAATTATGATAAACTATCTACTGGCAAAAGAATGATGCCATATTTCCAAAGTCGATATTATAATAACAAATGCTGGGCACTACAATAACACAAGGACTACTGTCAAGAATGAACTATCAGTCACGACAGATAAAAAAGAAGCCTACATACACTTAATTCAACCATCAAATGTCAAATCATAAATGAGTAGTGAATTCGAAAAATGAAGATCATACCATAATTCAAATCAGAAGTAGAGTCAGGATCCTGCATCATATTTTTGAAAAAAGCATAACTCATTATAAGAAGAAATGAATCTATAAACAGAGTAATAAAGGGGCAGCAGAATGGGAAGAGTCAAAATTTAAATAGCAGGCCAACTCAATAATCCAGATTTATTCCCTAGTCGTCATTTGCCACTTGTAAAGATCAAAGAATACCATTGTTAACCGTGTTTAGCAAATTACGTAAACAACTGTCATACTTTTTGTCAATAATATTACTCCCCACCCCCTACCCCTTCGCCATGCCCTACCACAAAGAAAAGAGAGATGAGGTAACGGGTCAAAGTAGGAAAATGGATCCAACTGGATGCTAGCTGAAACTAGGTAGGAGGATATAACACAGGCTGCACAAGACAAACAGAAAAATAAAATGCAAATGAACAAAGTTGAAGACAACAGACAGAAGTTAATTGAGCTCTTCATTTGCCAAGTCTACACCTTTAGAGTGGGGGACTAAGCAGGGAAGTTGGAGCTCGGAAATGAGCAGTTAATAACCAATCAAATGATGTCTTAACAACATGGATGTCAGCTTTAGGTACAAACGAAATTATGAACTGATGCCAATGGCTGAAACTCATGGAAGATCACAAACAGTGAACTTCTTACATCCGGAAATCACACCGTGTGACAGCAGTTTCACAAAAGTATACCCAAGAAAACTTACAGAAGCTTCATGTTCAGATTGCTGTTCTTTCTTTTTACTCTTTTCATTAGCTGCCGGCAGTGCAAATTGATGTCAAGAATAATGAAAAGCAGCCAGTTAGTGACTAAATACTTTCAAAACACTTTTAAACACCTTTGATTCTGCCTGACGCTGCTGACTGTCACGCTCAATTTTTCTCAACTTCTTCTCTTCTCGCAGCCGTTGATACTTTCGGCAGTGCTCTTCAATTTTGTGAGCATTAGGTTCAACCTGCCATATTTCCAGGCCAAAGAACTCATTTTACAGTTTGAAGACATTTTTTCCTTCCCTTACTCTTAAGTTAAGTAAAAACAACGAAATTGAACTACAAGTAGTAGAAAATTTTGTGAACCATTCATATGGTTCGGGTACATCAGAGAGAAGGCGTAATGAACAAGGAGAAATTTGAATATTTGACCTTTTTAAGTATCTCGGCAATCTCCTCATCAAAATCTATCATGGATGCCACACGAAGATCGCTAGCTGCCTCTTTCCATAAGCCCAACATTGCTCGAGCCATACCCCTCACTTTGTATCCTTTTGCTGAGACAGGGTTGACCTTTAATGAAATGATGCAAGTGTCATTAGACTTAGGACTCAAAAATACAGTCACAAACATAAATGAACCTAAAATTTCTTTCTAGCTTATGTAAGCATGGCTGGAAATAACTTCTGAAATACCTTTAAAGCGGCATCAGCATCGCGGATCGCAGCATTGGGTTTTTTCAACTTAATGAAGACATTAGCTGCATAGACATTGGTGTTTGTCAAAAGACCACATGAAGGACATGATACAAAGCCAAAATAACAAACATTAAGATGGTAAATATGCCAAATACAAACCTCTTGTTGCGTATAATATTGCAGAAGTTGAATTCAACAAAATAGCTTCAGTTAAATGACTTATGGCTTCATCAAGCTTGCCTGCCAGAAATGTACAGTTCTAGTAAGGTGTAACTTCCCTAATCAATATTGTAAAAAGGAATCTTCATTACACAATTAGGTAAAGATTAGCTTCCCTTCAGATATTGCATCCAGTGCTTTCGCTCTTGAAATTTGAGCAGCATCTCGATTTTCATCTGTTACTTCACTTATAAAATCTCCCATCTACAATTAGACAACAAAGAAAAACTCATTAAAAACAAAAGAACGCCAAAGTTACATCCACCTAATCCTTTTATGACATACCTGTTGTGGAGGATCATTGTCAGGTTCCACAATATCAGTGTTATCCAGCTCGACATCAGATTCTATAATGTCTTCATCCAGTTCATCATGATGCTCTTCTCCACCTTGTTCCTGCAAACTCATTCCTTGGTAAACAATATTTCCCCATTTCACACCGAATGTCACGCTTTGTAAATCTTTAATTTGGCTCAGGCGAAAACGATCACCATTTCTCAAAATACCAAATATCATGAAGTATAATGGACCCTAGCAATTTCCTTCTTACAAAATAAAAACTAATCTCCACCCCCACATTGATCAACTAATCATAAAATTCATTGGTACACATTAATAATTAAACTAAATCACAATTTTTAACTATTTGGCAATATCAAAATTAGGTTGTTTTTTTTCTGTTCAAAGCAGAAAACAGTGACAAAACATTCAGCAATCACTAAAATGAAAAATTGCAGAAATGGCGAATTGCTAGCGGAAGCTTACAGATTTAACCGACGGAGGAACTTGAGCACCCAAGCTGTAATCAATTCATTCAACAGAAAAAAACAAATAATCAATTTGTTGTTTCGATCAAGGAAAACCTAAATGGTTATGAAAAAAAAAATGAGTACCTTTCGAGAAAGCTCTTGAAAAAGGTTAGGGAAGGATTCTGTAAAATTGAAGGATTCTCTTTGCAAAGCTCCACAAAATGCTTTAGGTCTTCAAGCTTCTCAGTATCCATCATCGTCCTCGCCACTCCACTCTCTCTCTCCGTGTCTTAGTTTTAGTAAATTTTCACTACTTTTTCCGCAGGATACCAGGGTTTTTCTACTCTTTTTTTCTTAATGGTCAAAAAGTACATTAACTATTCTTTTCTACCTTTAATTTAATTATCACCTAGTATTATTTATCGAAATATATATGAAATTTAAAAGTTAGCTGAAAACACAACTCTATGAACGAATTAAAATTTATCAAGCCTCTTGAATAAAACAAGGTGAAATTCATGCAATATTTGAAAACCACAAAAAATTATATGGTACACGACAACAACAATAATAACATACTTGTGAAACCTCCTAAGATATAAACTCTAGAGATAATAAAATGTACACAATTTATTAAAAAAACTATTTTTAAAAAACTCTCGCATATTATCAGCTAAAAGGAGATATTGTAGAAATTTTATTTTGTACGCGCACAAATTGTTTGAGAATTGTCTTTATTTGACTAACGGAGTTCTTGTGACCTGAAAATTCAAGATCT